TCTTTTTTTTTTTTTTTTTTGGTGGTACTGAGGATCAAACTCAGGACCTTGAGCTTGCAAAGCAGTCGGCAGAACCACTGAGCTAAATCCCTGGCCAGAATAGAAGTGGAAGGTTGTTCCACACCATCTGTGACAGTGACTGTTACTCACCCAGGAGGGGTTCAACTCTGTGTCCATTTTAATGCTGTTTTAGATTAGTCTTTTTAAATGTAAATTGAATAGGCAGTTGAAATTAGTTTATGCCCTCCTATATTTCATATTTCTTCTTTAGGGGGAGGAGTTTTGGCCCATACCATACTAGGAGTTGCGTGGAATGAAATTACAGGACAGATAAAATTTCTGATTCTAGATCCACATTATACAGGTACAGAAGATCTGCAAGTTATTTTAGAAAAGGTAAGTACTTTACGTTTAACATGAATTTAAACACAAAGCAAAGAACTCAGAGAAGGACAACAAACTAGCTTTTAAAAGATAGTAAGCTGCAGGCAATGAGCTTCACTGTAAGGAGCGGGTTCTAAGGATGTCAAGAGGGACAAAGTGAATTGGAAAATTTACATTAAATTATATGAAAACTTTCAGTTCTCAAATTTAATGGAGCACAAAATTCATAAGTATATTCTTTGGAAATTCTATAGCTTTGCAGAAACAAAAATACCAAGGTTTATCAATGCCTTAAAATATAAGACTGGAATATAGAAACATAATTTTACAGTCAACGAAAAATAGCTAAGTGAAATGCTGGACGTTACAGAGGTTTGACTACTTATCCTAATCTTTTTCTGTAAAGGTTCTGAGGTTGAGACAAACTTAAGAGTATGAATTAATGCCTAGTAAATCATCTAATGGAGGTATAAATCTAAATAGATTTACAGGAAACTATTCTTACATATGAAAACTCAGTCCTACATCTTTAGGAGATGAGTATTATAAGACATTATTAACCTGAATTTTAAATAACATTCTTTGCCAAATACATTAAAGTTACAGAGAATATGTATGACATTTTAAATTATAAACTAATGAAGATATCCTATTACCCTCTACTCTTTATTTCATCAAGTCAGTATCAGTATCAAAAGAAAGGTTTCTCTTTGAAGTTGTAGCTCAACTGGGTTACTTTTTAAAAGCAGAATTGCTGGAACAAGGGATGGTTTAATGTTGAAATTCATTAGTGAAATTATTTTCAGAGCTATACTGTTCAGAACTACATTATCTTGCAATAAAAAGATAAAATGTTTTAATGTGTATAGAGTTCTTGGTCTTAGCATATAGCAGAACTCTCATATCCTCAGTTTATTAGTTTTTGTTAATGATAAGAGAAAGTACCAATAGAGAATGTGTTCTTAAAATTTTAAATGTCTTCCTTTTCAAGACATTTGGAAATTTAAGTTTTGTGGTTTTTTTGGGTTATTTGTTTGTTTGTTTGTTTGTTTGTTTCCTGGTACTGGGGATCAAACTCAGGACCATGCACTTGCAAGGCAGGCAGCGGAACCACTGAGCTAAATCCTTGGTCCAGGAATTCTAAGTTTTTGATTACTGAACATATCTTTCTGAAAATCATAGAAGTATTTACTGTTTGTATAGCAAAGTTTTCTCTCATTCAGCATTTAAGTAGCACTATGTGCCAGCCATTGTCCTAAGCATTGGAGGTTTATTAAAAGATTCTTTCAGGAGCTCTCGGTTTAGTAGAGAAAGACAGGAGAATCAAAAAAGGATTCTCAAGAAAAAAAATAATAGTAAGAAAATGTAAGAATAATATAAAAATAGATTTAAAATATTAAAATATATTTTAAAATAATAAGGAAAAAATAATGCTGCGTACAGTGGGTTTGTAAGGCTGATGCTGTGGAGCGACCACTTAGAACCATGAATGGCAAACCTGACCCTGTCCAGTTCCAAGGGTAGTGAACCAGCAGAGAAGCAAGGAATTGAGATTTTATGTTAAAGGAAGGAGAAGCCTTAGTTATTTCTCAGAAGAGTGTCATAGGTAATACAATTGCTTCTTTCTGGCTAGCTTGAGGGGCTTTGCACTAGATGGAATAATCTCGATTGGGTTTCCTGAAGCATTTAGATACGGCAAGCTGTCAGCCCTGACTGCTTACTAAGTGCAGTCTTCCTTTGCTAGTTATATTTCCATAGAACTTTGCAACAGCAGAAATCTCCTTGATCCAGTAATACATATAAAAAACCATGAAGCCAAGGTGTAGCTGTCAGCAGACCCTTGTCACCTGACTCCAGCAGTCTAGGTGGCCACAGGCGAGTTCTGCCACCTCCAGACTCTGTCCCCACATGGGGCTCTTTTTGACATTCCCAGGCTGGTCATCTTGAAGAAAAGAGGCATGGGCCCCAATATGCTTGCTCTTTGGCACCCTTTCTACTCATTTCACTTTAAAACAAACAAACTGGATCTGGTTTCCTGGAGAAGGCCTACATGTGTGAAATTACCGGAAAATGTTAAAACAGGAATATATAGAAAAGTCTTTTGTATTTGTTGAGAGACTTTTGGACATTAAATATATTGTTTTGCAGGAAAAATGAGTTAAAAATAGACTGTTAACAGTTTTAATGGTGTTTACCTAGAAAGAGGAAAGACTGATTTTCGTTTTTCTCTCCTTTTTTGACTTTGAATTTTTACAAATTTGTCTTAGTTTTATAGTAAGAATGAAAAAATAAAAATTACATTTCCAATCAACCCTCTTTCCTCCACACTAAAAAAACAGAGCTAAAACACTCTCTTCTTTAGATAATATAGATTTTTACTCTAGGCCCTGCCAGAATAATACCCAGCATCTTCAGAGTTAAAGGAATAACCTTAGTACTTGTCATTTAGTGGTATTTTAGAGTCCCCAGCTACCTCCTTCCAGGTATTTCTCAAAGCATTTAATTTCATCATAAAGTAAAACAATCCAGTTATCAACTTGTTCTTAATAGGCTGGTGTGGTGGCACACACCTGTAATTCCAGCACTTGGGAGGCTGAGGCAAGAGGATCCCTGTGAGTTCGAGACCAGCCTGGGCTACATAGTGAGTTCCAGATCAGTCTTGACTACCTAGTGAGACCCTGTCTTAAAAAACAAAAAACAAACTTGTACTTAATAAATCAGTGGCTCTGGAAGAAATTGGATAAACTGTCATAATAGTTATTTTTTTTTCCTCATTGAGTTTATTGGTACATTTTAGGTATACAGTACAGTTACATTCATTATTAGGATCGTGTACCTTTACATGACAGGTCTTGGTTCTCATTTTTTCCCCTTGTCCCTGCCCTCCCTTCACCCCTCCTCCCCTCCCCCTTTACAAACACTTCATTTCCATTTTTTCATTTTCTCATATTTTGCCCCTTATTACCTTTCCCCTACCCATCCCACTTTCCCTACAACTTTAGCCCCTTTCTTCCTATTTCACATTGTCCATTATATCATTAGGACCTTATGTACTATTATAGTTTATTCACACCAGAGAAACTATTCGGTATTTACACATGTGTGACTTACTTATTTCACTTAGGAGTATATCCTCAATATGTATCCATTTTCCTATGAATGAATCTAATTTTTCATTCTTTATGGCTGAGTAATATTCCATTTTATAGAAAAACCACATCTTTATCCACTTTCCAACTGATGGGCAAATGGGCTGTTTCCAAGTTTTAGCTATTAAAAACTGTGCCGCTATAAACATAGGTGAGCATATATCTCTGTGATATGATTCTTTTAATTCTTTTGGAAAGATACCCAGCAGAGGGAAGGCTGGGTCAAATGGAACCTCTAGTCCCAGCTCTTTGAGGTATCTCCATATTGATCAGCCCCCCCAAATATAAAGATCCGATTCAAAAATGGGCATCTGAAATGAACAGACATTTCTCAAAGAAGTAAAAACAGCAAGTAAATATATGAAAAAATGTTCCATTTTTCTGCCTCTCTCATTCGAGAGACACAGATGAAAACAACACTGAGATTCCACCTCACCCCACAAAGAATGGCTGCTATCAAGAAATCAACCAATAACAAATGTTGGCGGGGTTGTGGGGAGAAAGGAACCCTTCTCCATGGTTGGTGGGAGTGCAGACTGGTGCAACCACTATATAAACTATCATATTTATAATGAGATTCCATTTGAAAATAGTTTTCTCTGCTGAAAGATTAATACTGGTATTAGAAAAAATAGTAGTAAATAAAAAGTGGAAAGTAGAATTCACTGTATCCTGAAGGAAGTCAAAGAATGTAAAATGGTCCTCATGGAACAAACTCAGAGCTCCCACTACCATTTCACCGTAGCTAAGATGGCACTGAATGGTACATATCTGTCTTATGGACTGCTAAGAGAAACAGTCTTCAAGTAGGCTATTATTACATGTTATCAGTTATCAGACATGTCAAACTGTACTTCTTAGAACCAGTGCAGTTCAGTATCTGGACTAATAGTTACTATAAGGAAGTTTTTCTTTTTTAATGATTTCTGTGATTAAATACTGTATCATCAAATGTTTAAAGATCTGTATTTTCTACACTTAGACAATCCTTACATTAGACAGGTATTTGAGTCTTGATCTGATGTCCTGTTGACAGAGTTTAATAGCACAATTTCCATCATATAGTCTGGTAACTATAAAAAGTGTTCCTTCTCTCAAATTCAGGGCTGGTGTGGATGGAAGGGCCCAGACTTTTGGAACAAGGATGCTTACTATAACTTATGTCTCCCTCAGCGACCAAATAGTATTTAAATTGTCTTGCATGCAAAAGATTGTAGTAAAGTGTAATTACAAATTTGTTAATAAAAAGTTTAAGTTCAAATTAAATCCTGAGTACAGTTGATGGTTTAAATGTTTCTTTTTTAAAAGTAGTGAATACTGCATAGATTTTATTCTTTAAACATTCTTTAATAATTTAAAAAACAAAACATGCACAACCAAAATATTACAGGCATGTAAATCACATGTATTCTTAAATGTTCTCTTCACTTGGAAGAAAGTTTTCCTCCACCTTGGAGTTTAAACATGTATGGTAAGTCAGAAGCCATAGTTTGTGGATCTTTATGAAATGAATCCTGCTTTGCACCTCTTCATAATCAACATGAATCTGTTTTTTTAAAAAGTTTTAACAGTAAAATCTTCTTTCAAAAAAATTTTTTTTTCTTCTGAAACTTCCACCACGCAGGACAAATTTTGGTCTCTAGAATCTAGTACAGTAATAGTAGTAACTATATTAAAATGTTAATGAAAATGAAAGCCAGGTACAGAGGTGAGGTGCACGCCTATAATCCCAGCTCCCGAAAGTTGGAGCCCAGCCTGGGCAATTTAGAAGATCCTGTCTCATGGGGCATGGTGGCGCACGCCTATAATCCCAGCACTGGGGAGGCTGAGGCAGGAAGATCACAGTGAATTCAAGGCCAGCCTGGGCTACACGGTGAGTTTGAGGCTAGCCTCAGCTACATAGCAAGACACAATCTCAAAAAGTTAAAAACAAAGAAGACCCTGTCTCAAAATTTAAAATAACTTAAAAGCCTGGAGACATAGCTCAGTCAAAGGCCTTGGGTTCAATCCGTAGCACACTCTCCAAACCAAAAAAAGAAAATAAAGAGATAGTACCAATATAAGAGTGTCAATAATTAAATGGAACGGTTAAGTTTTATGCTAAAGGAGATTCTTGAGGGAGGAAAAAAAAAGTTTTACAAACTTATTAACACTTTCTTTTCTCACTTATATTTTCTGTACTTCCAAAACTTCGTTTCTGTCCAAGCACTGGGACACAGCGATCCCTAATAGGTTGTTCACTTGATTTTATTGTCTGCATAGATTTAATTGTTGTAAGAAACTTGGCACAGTCTCGAAATCCATGTAACCAAGCAAGATCTTCAGCTGTTTGCCCATTCTTATTACATAAACTGAAATTAGAAGAAAAAATTGAGTTAAATAAAAATTGTTACTTATTTAGTTTTTTTTCTATGTTCCTAACAAAGGCATTTTGTGCTCATACTGTGGTTGCAAGGTAGAAGAGGTAAAGAAGACATAGGGAAATTTCATTCTTGCTCACTGTTGCATCCTTAGTGGCTAGCAGATTCAGAACAAAATGGGCATTCCATCGTTGAATGGATACAAGAGTATTCAGTGTTCAACACAGTGAACGAGTGCCCAATCGTGGTCAGTGAGATTTTCTATAGAATATGCCTCCTTAAGGCAAAAATGAAGTGGAATAATGAACAGAATTGCACCTGATTACTTAGGATCCATTTTTATTCCACTTAATCAAATTGATATGATATATCACTGACAGGTAACTATTTAAATGATAACACTAAATTACTACTTGGACAAGCATTATTTTAAAAGCCCATGCAATTAAACATCAGGACTCTCACTAATCCAAAAAAACAAAATTTGAAGCTATTTTAATATTTCATACTCACTCAATCTGGGCTTCACTGGCTACAAGCAAGCTAAGGCATTCCAGGCTTCCAACTTTAGCTGCCTTATGGAGCGGAGCTTCTCCCAAAACATCCTGTAGGAAAAGAAAGCACGTTAGAGTCTCTCCCAAAAGCACTGAGCGGTGGAAGTTGGCGAGTGAAGTTGTAGATTAGCTGTCTGAGGAGGCTAGTTCAGAACAGCACTGTATAGACTGGATTTTTAAATTCAAGCATTTTATTTGGGGTACTGTTTCCTTAGTGTCCTACCTAGTGCAAAGTTTTCACTAATAAAAATGTGTGTCCACATCCACATACATTAGGCCAGGCATGGTGGCGCTCGCCTGTAATCCCAGCACTCGAGAGGCTGAGGCAGGAGGATCGCTGTGAGTTCGAGACCAGCCTGGGCTACATAGTGAGTTCCAGGTCGGTCTCAACTACATAGTCAGACCCTGTCTCAACCCCCCCCACCACAAAAAACCACATCCACATACATTAAAATTTAATGAAAGCAAAACAATTCTACAGAAGCCAAAAAGTATACAATTTAAAATTCACCATACTTTAATATTCAGTGGAAGATGAAAACTACCAAAAGAAAATGTGAGCTGAGTTATCCTGTAAGAATATAATACACACTGGACTCTGAGAAGTGAAAAGAAAATGTAAAACAGCTCATCAATAATTGCTTTACACTATACATATTAAGATGTTTTTACAAATTATGTTAATTATTAAGTATTTACTTTTCATTAAATGTGGTTACTAAAATATTTTAAATTTTGTGCCTTGAATTTCTGTTGGACATATCTGCTATAGACATGTTTCTAACAGCTGAACCAACTGGATAGACTGGCAGTAGGAAATGTCTGAATTTGCGGTGGAGGGGCAGGTGGGATACAGCAACAGTCGTTACCTAAATTACCTGTTGGTTGAGATCAGCGCCTGTTTGCAACTGCCAGAGAAGAAAGTAAGCAAAGCCGCCACCTGCAGCTAAGTGGACAGGCGACTGCTCACAGGAATCCGGGGGTGCATTGACGGAACACCCAGTCTGTAATAGATGTGTCAGACCATCCGCCTGCAGGACGAGAACAGATTGAGGATACCTCTCGCCTTTGTCCAGCCCTGAGCCCTTTCCCGATTGAAATTTCCCTGACTGCAAACGCAGTCAAACTCTGGGCTCAATTTGGCTGCTCTGAGCAGTCAGACCACTGTCGCCCTCGCTGGCCCGCCTAACAAGACACATCTGGAAGGAAGTTCTAGCCCGCAGGACAAAGGGACCCCAGTCTCACCTCTGGGTTGCAATCAAGCAGCAGCATCTCCCGCCTAAAGCAGAGGACCAGAATCCCTGGAAATGCAGATTGGTTGGCGAGTCTGCGGACCGGCAGATAAAAATGCATAGGCCTGCCCCAGTGGGGGAGAATTTAAAGCCCCTGGCCACCGCGCCCTGGCAGTTTAATCTTCAGTTGCCGGTACTTTCCCGTCCCAGAGGCTGCACGTACCCAAACAATGACACGTGCAGCCTGGGGCTAACCTAGGCTGGCTGGGGAAGGGGAGGAGCAGGAGGCGCG